CGGACTAGAGTTTGCTCTTTTGGTCTGCATCAGAGATAGATTCACAAGCATTGTAAACGTCAGCAAATAGGATGTGAGGTAGCTGTTTCAGCTTGAAGTTTCTACAAGATATTTCAGATATGCTCGCCGAAGAAATCTGTGAACAGGTGGATTTTCCATCCTCTCTAAGACAATCACCAGAGAATCTGCACATCACTTCATGAAACTTTCAGGAAAGCTGAGCTGCCAGGCTGCTGCGAAGATTATGGATTTTATATTTCTGCAATTATGTAAGATGTTTTTATCGGTTTTTCACCACTCGATAATTTTTTTAGAACCGTTGTCTGATTTTGTCATAAGCCATCACTTACACAATGGCAAGAAAATCATTTCATCTGATTCACTTTCAGTCACAAAAGCTGTCTGTTGTTTCGGTTTGGGTTTCACAAAGCAGCAACAGCAGCAGCAGCAGCAGCTCCGTTCTCTCCGGGCTGTGCGTGTTCTGCACACAAACCAGAAGGAGGACCAAGTGGCAGAGAGCTCAGCAGTTAGAAAATTGGTGTTATTGAGTTGAAGCTCTGTTGTGTCTCAGAAGAGTTTTCTCTCTCTCTTTTTTTTCTTGCTAAGGTAAGGAGGTGGAGACCAAGTTATCTCCCCCTGCAGCTGCTGGCTGCAGCTGCTTCATCGTTAAATTGAGGGTTGGTGCTTGTGAGTGCTAACGTTTTTTTGGGGGGGTTTTTCTTAATGAAACATGGTACAACATTCTTGGAAGCAAGTTATTCCAAGTAACATTGTGTAAAATAAACTTGGTTGCACAGCTGAGATGCAATTTGTTGTAAAAGTGAGGTAAAAATCAGGATTCAATACGTTTTCGGTGTGCTTAAATCAAGAAAAAATGAAGAAAAAAAAATCAGATTTTTTGTTAATGTGGTCAGCATTTGACTTTATAAAATTAATAAAATTTTATTATATTGTAAAATGTAAAAACTTAGAAAGTACAGAACTGACTAGTGACATAGTTTTGGTATTTTCAGTGAATATCCATCATAGCTAACATCTGGGTCAATAGAAAAAACTACAATATAACCAATTCAAAACATTCAGTGATGATACGTAGAACTTTTTAGAAGACCTTTCCATACTTGGAAATAAAACATTTTGAGTTGTTTTTGATTTTTCAGTAACTTTGTGTTCCAGGTGCACCTGAACGCAGCAGCTGTCTCATCAACAGAGATTTCTCCAATTGCTTTTAATACGATGTATGAAGTTTGGGCTGACTAGACTTTTCTCCATTTCCTGTGAGGTTCACGTGCATCTAAATGTGAGGAATTCAGCTTCTATTGCACGACAAATCTGGAACAAACTTCAAGAAAACTTCAAAACAGCCAAATCATCGAGTTCCCACAAATCAAGGCTACAAACCCATCTGTTTAGCATTGCCTTTGATTAGTAGCAACTGGAACACTACACACCAACATAATTGGTGTGTACTGATTATTTTTGATGGTTTGATGAAATGTAACGCTTGTTGCTTGGTTCGCAATTGGTGACTGCAGGATGTTTTTATGATGTAAAGCACCTTGAACTGCATGTCTGCTGAAATGTGCTACACAAATAAACTTGACTTAAATTCAGAGTAAGTTACATATCTTATACACTTGTCACAGTTATAACATTTCAAACTCAATATAGATACTAGGAAAAATACTTGATACCATTTTTGACACCGCAGCAACATTTTTACAGGCTGTTTCGTCGGGCAACTTACAAAATGTGGGGCGCTGGGAGTACAGTCTTTAAAAATCCAGAAAATCCTACTTGTTAAAAAAAAAAGTGGGGGGGAGTTTTCGTCAGCTTCATCTAGATTCTGTCATTCATTACAACATGGCTTCCCTAATTAGGGCAAAACCAATAAGTAGAGGAAAATTTAGCCAACATTTCAAAAGACTTGTAATTTAAAAATGCTACTTCGCTGTTTGGCAGAACAGTAGACGAGATAAAGCTCAATATGTGTGTTAATATCCTTTATGGAGGTGTGTAACTTTGAGTTGTTTTATTACAACTGCTTATCTTTAGTGTGTGTTTCCAGCTGTCTGTCAATTTGCTGTTGATAAAAATTAATTTTACCACTGAGGGATAAAGGATCACTCTATGCTAAAATAAATAGTTTCCAAACAAAGATCTGGCACATGCACAACAAGTTTTACAGAGTGAACATAAAAATGCAGATGCATTCAGCAGCAGTTCTGTATCATTTCTGTCTTTCTGGTATGTTTTCATATTTCCTTTAGTGAGCAACAACAGTAGCAGGACAGGTTGCTATGGGCTGATATTTACTTCCGGCTCTTGTCAATTTTCTTGATGCTCCACCATAACTTATTTTATTACAATGCAAAATAACAAAATCTTACCAAGTATTTTTGGTGTGGTTTCTAACGCAAACATCTTAGTACACGATAAATAAGACGAAACTAACTTACATGTGACATTTCAGCAAGATCCTTAACATTGAATAAAAAAAAGTTCTAGTTCCACCGGCAGATTATAACATGGGACTTATACTTTTTAAAAATCAATATTAAGGAATTACTGACTTAAAACAAGCGCCTAAATCATGCTGTGAAGTCACTTGTGAGTTAGTTTTTTTCTTATTTCAAGTGTGCTAAGATATTTGACCAAATATGTTACCAAAATCTTACCAAAATAATTGGTGAGATTTTGTTGAGGGGGCTGCAGTGCATTAGCAATATTACTTTCAACTAAACGGAGGAGCAATGGAAAACATAAAAACTGGGTCTGATGGTCTGATGTTGTGCTGAGCATTTCACAGCATTTCTGTCTCCAGACTATTAACACAGATCTTGTCCAAGAAAGACAAACACACTGCATGCATGTGTCGAGACTCGATATTTCACAAATTTCCTCACGTTTAGGTCCATCTAAAAGTCCATTTTCAAACATGTCAGCAGGAGGTTGCAAGATAAGAAAGGAACGGATGGCCAGGTTTAGTTTCTATGGACGTGTTTCTAAATGATTTCGTGACGGCTCCGTCCCACTGCCTCCTCCTCCGTCCCCGGTGAATGTCAAGCACCTTGGGCAGTCTGCCGGTCAGCTGCTGATTGAGGTCGGAGCCACGAGTCGGCCGGCTGCCGAACGCCCGGCTAAAAAGGCGAAGATTCTTTTCGGGGCAATTTCACTCAGTCGTGCAGAGCTCTGGAGGAACGGAGGCGGTTTCTCATGCTGATGTCCATAATGATGATGCTGCAGAGCAATTTCCAAGAAATATCGCGCTCTTCCTCCAGACAGAAAATGACCTGCAATTTTTTTTTTTTTTTTTTTCCCCCCCAATCCAAAGCATGTAGCTTTTCATGTCTGGGCGATCCGCCGCGTGCCGTGCTTTTTTTCCCTAATATTTCCGAGCTGCGCCTACAGAATCTTTAAATTACTCCTTTTACTCCAGGAAAAGGGGGGAGTAAAATATATATATATATATATTGCAATTTTGCACCTATAGCAGCACCACAGTGATGTTTGTTTCACAAGAAAATTAAAAAGCCTCCGAAAACAAATTTTTACAATATGTTCATAGGCAAGACGACGGCGGCGCCTCAGAACAGCAGTAGTTACAACACAAACCACAGTCATTAAATATAGAGAAAATAAGGAAATGATGCCATTTTTGCCATTTTCTACAGAGAGGAAAATATTTCAACTAAGATTTTTTGTTATTATTACCATTATTACTATTCAAGACGCTGCTGTTTGTACACAAGAAATTGCAGACACTCGGAGCTGAATCATTTGGCGACGCGTTAAAGAGCATCACCACTTTGTGGATGTTGAGAGAGGAAATGTAAACAACTTGGAGTGTCAATAATCAACCACCGCCTCAGAGCTTATCAAATGTCTAAGATGAAAAATATTAATACTTCTGCTATATACATATGTACATGTAAAATACACTAAATGAAAGACAATGACTTGACGACATTGACTGTCTGTACAGCAAATATGAATAAAATACAAATCTGTAAAGATGTAGGAAACTAACCAAAACTGTGAAGGGAGAAATACTTCTTAACATAACTGGACTGGAACTCTTTTTACACTCCCCAAAAAAGTTATCTGTAGACAACAATAATATAAAAGGCTTTAGGCTAGGTTTTATGGTTAGGTTTGGGCTTTATGATAAGTATGCAATAAAATATTCATAAAGCTTTGGAGAGTGGCGTATATATCCAGGCGTAAAAGTGATTTTCTTCTGCAGATCTTCATTTATTGCACATGTTAATCATTCCCACTTCTTTTTTTTTGTGTGTCTAAAACTTACTCCTGGCAAAAAAAGAGACAAATATGAAGTAAAAGTTATATTTTGTAGTTATTCAAAAGACCCACTGCCTGTTGAAAGTTTTGCTTTTGCCCCCAGCAGAGTTTCTAATTAGCTTTTTTTTTTTTAATAAAAAAAACTACAAAGATTTCCTTCATCTCATAAGTCAGATATGGTTTTGTGTTAAAAACACAAGCTCTTTGTGTTCATGCTACTGGGAAAACGTTGTTGTTCAGTGCAGAGATTCCCCAGACAGCAGCATGAAAGGGGATGGATCAAACTTTAACATTGTGTTAGCATTTAAAGTTATTCTTTTTACTCTCTGCTCACATCTACATAGGAAAACTACCACTGAGTGTTAGGGACAATGTAAATGAAGAAGGGTATTTAAAAAAAAAAAAAAAAAAACTCTGACATTTTGAAATTAATCTAAGATTCTTTTTTTTATTAAAAAAAAATCTGAGATTTAAAAGTAAAAAATGTTTCAACTTTCCAAACTCAGAAATTTCCCATTTTTTTCTAGACAATTTCTAAGATTGGTCTCAAAACTTCTGAGAATTTTCTCACAATTTTTTAGATTTTTGGAGCACAGAAACTTCTAGAAATTTTCTGAGATTAATTTCAAAGTCTCAGTTTTTTGGCAGAAATGTACTCCAGTTTTTTTCCATCTACGATGGCCCACATACGCTGTCACAGAAAACAGGGTTACCTTCTGGTAGCAAAGAAGAACAAACAAACTCTTAATCCTTCAGTGCACAGCCCCACTCACAGATTATTGTATCCACTTTCAAAATGTATATGTTTTTTCTTCTTCCTGTATCAAAATAGTCCCAATCCAACAAAAACTGATCACAAATGTTGAGATTTCTCAACAATTTTTGCTTTAAAAAAATCTTTCCCACAGATTCGCATGAATCAACTCCATGATGAGAAGAGTCAAACGTCTTCAACGTGTTTACATTTCCAATGAAACACAAAGCACAACTGAAACACACAAAAAGTGAAAACTCAACGCAACATTTTTTTTACCAAGAAATGCATTACACCTGTCAAACTTCATTACACTTTTATCTTTTAAAATAACTGTCAAGAACATTCATGTGGCCGTGCAAACATAGACTTGAGTGGTAAAGGAATTTAACCATCAATTACACAGATTTTTTTTTTTCCTTTTTCTTGTGGCAGCCGATGCATAAATGCATCAATTTCATTTTTATTTGTGCAACGCACTTCAGTTGTCAAGTCTACGAAGTTGAGTTTGAAACTTTTTCCGTTTTTCTGTCTTACACCGACTCACTCAGTTTGAGTATTTCAGTCTAAGTTTTGTGCTGCTCCAAACATTAGCTGTTCTCTTCCCCGACTCAGGCTGAACATCAATCATTTGTAGAGGAAGAGAGACTTCTGCTGAAATATCCTCATGATCACCAGGAGATTTCCCCTGGTTCCCACCAACCATGAAGTGAAAATGAAAAAACAAAGAAAAAAGCCAGGGGCTTCTCACTCTGCCTTCTACCTGCAGTCTGACAGGCCTTTGAGGCTGATGTACAGGGAGCTGACCATGGTTGCCTCCTCCTGCATCGACTCCTTCAGGTCGGGTTCGTCCACACACATGAGGGCGACCAGCCACTCGGGCAGCTTCCCGCTGAACACCAGGTAGATGCAGGGATTCATGCAGCTGTTCAGGCTGGCCAGCAGCATCAGGATGGTGAAGGTGGCCGCTGGAGAGAGAGAGAGAGAGAAGAAATACTGAATAGTCGGCTTTCTCTTCATATTTACAGCCCGTTAGTGTTAGTTTTTAAGTTGGAAGCCGTGTAAAAACAAGTGGTAAAATGTGAAGGCTTAAAAGATTCAAAGGGGATGAATTTTGCACTTTTTGTACCTCCATTTGGGCCTCTAATGCTTCTACAAAACCAACTCAAGCACTTGGAAAAATACAGCAAAACACAGAGACGGATTTTGGCAACGGTTTATGTTTTTTGGTGTTTGAAAAACCTCTGGAATGCAATGTCACAAATCAGCAATCTCACCCAAGCAATCCCAGCGAAGTCCTTACTGTTACCAAGCAACCCAAGTGGAGCTCCAGCACCTTTGATCAACTGCTTTATGTATGCATTGCATAATGGCTGCTGGAAAAGACAAGTGTTTTGCTGTTGACTTACCATCCAGAAACCACTTGCTGTGCTCTTGTTAGTTGTGCAGGAGGCCCCACTTCTGCTTTTCAAAGGTGTACAGTTGTATAATTGCACATCCGTTTGCAGCCATTTTCATGTGTGAGGGTAAATATTGAGTTGAGGGGCAGAAGCAGATTATCTGGGTTTAAAGTGACAAGGCGCCCTAAAACAGCTCATTCTGAAAGGGCTCAAAACATGCAGAACGAGCATTATCTCATTATCTAAGAATGATTTTGTACAAAAAATGTGTAGGATCTATATCCAAACATGTTCAAGGTAGAATAGTAGGTCACCTATAAATGTTTCATCAAACCAAACTTTTTGTTGTAGCCAGTATTATCTTTATTAAAACAAAACTGCGACAGACAGGGTGACCCGGCCTCTCGCCCGGAACGTTAGCTGGAGAGGCACCAGCACCTCCCGACCCCACTGAGGGACAAGGGTGTAAAGAAAATGGATGGATGGACAACATTTTTTATCTGTCTGTGAATTTGTTTTGTCCTAATAAATAAATGCTTCATTTAAATCCACCTTCTGTGCTGGTTGGACAAACTTGCGTTGTTTTTGAATCGTAGTCTGGGGCTGGAAGTGCCATTTGGACACCCCGGTTTTACTTTACGCAATACTTTCTGTTGGTTTATTCTACTACAGATACATTTAGGTTTGGGAATATGAAGTGAGAAAATGTGAGAGAGCTCATTAGACCTTATTGTGGGCTCAGTAAAGCTCTTACACTGGGTGGGCGCCTCGGCGTCCCAGACGGACCAGAGCTGCACGGTGAAGAACGGCGTCCAGCAGACGACGTAGGCCAGCACGATCACCACGGTCATCTTCACCGTCTTCACCCGCGCCTTCGACAGCCCCACCACGCAGCTGGCCCGGGAGGACAGCGGCCTGCTCGCCGCCTGCCCCCCAGCAGCCCCGGCATGGTGGTGCGTCTTCAGGTGGATGCTGGCGTGCACGGCGCGGCAGATGCGCACCTGGCACACGATCACGATGAGAATCGGCAGGACGAATATCACCAGAGTGGTCCAGGTCACGTAAGCCCTCAGCCCCCATGGCACAACGAACTGACCCCAGCAGTCGTAGACCCCCGGAGCGACCTCGACCCGTGAGAAGATGAAGACCTGCGGGAGGCTGCCGACAAAGGAGACGCACCACGCGGCGCACACGGGGCCGTTCCAGCGCGCCCTCCTCCGCTGGAAAGTCACCATGGGGTTGCAGATGGCTTGGTAGCGGTCGATGGTCATCACCACGATCATATAGGTGGAGGCGAACATCCCGACCACCTGCAGGTACTTCACCAGGCGACACAGGATGTCCGGGCCGACGAATCTGTCCGTGATGTCCCACATGAGCTGCGGGCACACTTGGAAGAACGTGACCACCAGGTCGGCGACGCACAGGTGTAAGACGAATACGCGCATCCTGGAGAGCTGCTTCCGCCCCTTCCACAGCACCAGCAGGAGCCCGAAGTTCAGGAGCCCCGCGGCGACGAAGATGATGGACAGCAGAGCTATTTCCAGGCGAGCCAGCCGCTCGTCGCGGGGCTCGTCCCCGGCCGGGACGGCCTCCGAACTGGCGTTGCTGGTGTTCGCGCTGGACCAAGCCATGCCGGTCACTCCGACGAGCGCTGGCCAGAGGGGCCCCGCACCATTACGCAGCCGACGCAGGTGGAGAGACGGTTGAATATTACAAACACAAAGCAGGCGGAAAGAAAGCTTATTAAAAAGTCAAAAGATGGCCGTAGGAGATTGCAGACCATTTTTCCAATAACTAGGAAGCTGGTTCAAGTAAACTGGGGAGCGGAGAGGGGAGAACAGATGGTTTTATATCTGATCTGGGCAGGAAGGAGGAGCGACCTCACAAAACGCAGGAGTTGTTTCCAACCAAAGAAGGTAGAGAGAAAATGGAAAGGCATGACAGAAAACATTTAAAAGTATCACATCTTCAAAAAACTTTTAAGAAATAGTTTACTGTACAGAAGGAGTTAAGCTATGTTACTCAAACTTATGTTTTATATTTCATTCATGCTATTAACTTGAGATGTCTTGAAAAAATGTTCTTACTCCTTTTTTACACCACAAACGTGAATGTGTGTGTGTTTTGTTTTTGTTTTTTTTATCAAGACTTGATGTAAAAGTGTTAGACAATGTTGGAAATAAAATGCTCAAGACGCATCTTCACCCCTCTTTACTTTGATGTGCAGGTGTCTTTTGGTGTCATAGCCCAATTTTAGACATTTTAAAGGCCACCTTGAATTAAATTTAAGACAAAAACCCTCTAAATTTAGAATTTAATTTATTTGGTAGGGACAATGCACATTAACATTTCTTACAGAATTAGCCAAAAACTTGTTTCCATCTGTTGTCCCTGGATAATGCTCAATTTGTCTTGCTAAAAGCAACAGATGTAGGAAAATAAGTCGATAAGGGAAGGGTGGGGTACATATACTGCTGTACAAGCAACCAAAGCAAAAAAAACAAACAAACAAAAAAACCCTGAAATTTCTGGGCTGTTTGTTCTCTTGGCAGCGGCTTTGTTTTTCTCACACTGGATATGGCTCTCTACAACGTTCCTCCATAGTGCCTAACGTAATTTTTATACAAAGTTTTCTGCACAGCATGCAACTAGCCTCGTACGGATTGGCAAGAGAAGTGAAGAAATGGAGATAATGAATGCCGTCCAGCCAATGGGCGATACATTTGTACTTGCCCATAAAAAACCTAGCTTGCTAGCGTTCATTAGCTGATAATTTTCGGGAGCCTCAACCGTCTCTAGTTACATTACACAGGTTTCTGATTGAATAAAACTTTTTGTTTGATATGATTTTGTTTTGTGATTGAATAAAAAATTTTCGCATTTTTATTTTTTATCGAATTATTGTGAAATAAAGTTAAGTCCATACAATGGACATACCTGCGCGCGACTCAAGCCTGACAGAAAAGTCCCACGAGACAAAAAAACAAAAACACTACATATCCGACAATATCAGAGATTAAATAGCCCTACCACGACAAAAATGCAAGACCTGTGATTAATATTTAAGACCAACGTATATTTTTACAATACATTTTCAGGTCTTATTTTAAATTTAACATTTTTAAGAATGGACAGACACCTTGTAAATTCACCCCATCCGTATTTCAGTATTAAGTATTTGAAAAGGATTTATTGGAAGCAATATTTGTTGGGTTGTTAGATTTTAAGTGGCAGTACATTTTTTGGCCTTTTGGATTGACTTTCAACAGGCCTCGATTCACATTACTGGCTAAAATGATAAATCACACAAGTGGTGGTGGAAACATACTGGCAAACAAAACGAAAAATCAGAAACCTTTGGATTAATCTTATAATACCCTTATTTAAAAAATAGGCAAGAGTACAGCATTTACATGTTGATTTGTAGTTAAATAATTTTGAAAACTAGAAGCAACGGAGTGGAGTTTCCTTCCACTCTAAAACAATCCACCATTATTATGTCAGCCTATAACATGAAATCCTATATGGATCAACTTAAGTTTGTGGTTCCAACATGACAAAACATGAAAAACTTCAAGGGGTGTGAATATTTGTACAAGGCACTGGATGTAGTATTTTATTCCACCGGCAAAAACTCATGCTGCTACGTTTTATCTTCGTACACGTGGTAAAACAAGGGGCTTAAGCATCAGCCTTTTTGTTTCTTTTTAAAAAGAGAAAATTCAAAGCAGACAAAGACAAAGATACCTGTCCAAAGTGCTGCCTCCGCAGATTTGAATCGAAATGAAAATGGGAAAAAGTAGCCAAACGGTAATGAGTGCATACGCATGTCTTCCTTTTGTAGTGTCCTTATTCACAACATGCTTCAGCTACTCTAACCATATCTGGCAGCAGTGCAGTTATAAAGTAACACAAAAACCCTTTGAATTTTTTTCCCTGTCTAAAATAAAGATAACTACTTAAATAACACTTGGGCAAAGCCATTTAAATCACAATGGTGACCAGTTCCTGTTTTATTCAAAGCTTCACATGACTCAGCAGTTCGTCTTTATCCATCTGGTATCGACTTTTCTTCCAGATGTCACGGAGCTCCTGCAGGCTGGTGCCAATTTCCTTCCCCGATGTGATGCCCATCTTCCTCAGATCGTGGCCGCTGACGGGGAAGCGAGGCACCGACCACCTCTGGAGCTCCGACAGCAGCTTCTCCTCACCTTGATACTTCAGCAGCTCACACACTTTGCTCTGAGAGTCCGGCTCCCGGCTCTGGGTAGTGCGAGATATTACAGATATGACTTACTTACGATTAATATATATATATATATATATATATATATATATATATATATATATAAAAACAGATTCAGATGGTTCAAACTTGTGAAAGCAGATCTGACCTTTCACTTGACAATTAATTGTTCTAGCAGGGGCGTCTCAATACAACTTTTTCTCAATACAGATTGCGACACCTCTAGTTTCTATGTTCTCAAATCCTGACTGATTGTCTTTAATGTGACAAATACATTCTGACAGATTTAAAATCACAGGTGTCAAAGTTTCTACAAACTTTGATCAACTTAAAAATAAAAAGAAGAGTTTAAAAAATAAGTTGCCTCACTTCCCTTTATTTTAAAAGGTAATGTTAGGAGTGCCAATAATTGTGCCAGGGAGTTTTGAATCCTATAATGAGAAAGTTTCTCGTCTTGACAAGGAACTGCTTCTGAATTTATTTTCTAGCTCTGGCAGTTAAACCCTTTCACTCAGCAGAAGAAAAGAAAAGATTGGACTAAATGTACTTTAAATATGTTTTACAAGCTGCCGTTTTTAGAGGCTGATTGACAGAATCAACCTTTGAAGGCACTAAAAGGCTGCAATCATCCACACATAAAAATGGTCGAAAATTTACAAGAAAATGGGGACGTGACCTTAAAACTGGTTTGGTACGCAGGCAGAAATCATCATCAGGTTGCTCCTGCAGACTTACATCGATAATAAAGTCAGTGAAAGGTCTGAGGTCGTCTGGCTCTTCGTCGCTCTTGTGGAGCGTCCGCCTGTGCTTGACCAGGAACAGAGCCAGCGTCTTCTCCTCCCTGGACACCTTCAGCCGCAGGTCCATCTTGTCCACGTTGTCCGGGCCGTGGAACAGGGCCGCCAGGACCGTCATGGGTTTGGGAGAGTGGGCGCTGGCGTTCCGCCATACACGCTTCATCTCGTCAACGTCGCCATCTGGAGGCAAACCTGGGGCGTAGCGGGGGAGAGAACAGAACCGGAATGAACACAAACTCGACGAGGAGAATTAGACGCATTTCTGTGAAGGCTTTAAAAAAGTTGAATTTAAAATGAAACTAATTTACAGCTTCAGCCTACATCTTTTCGATTAATGCAAAACTTATTGAGTTATTTCTATTTCGCTTCATTTTGAATCTCATTGATCGTAGCTATTATCATTTGTGTTTGTGTGTTTTGGATTGAATAAACTATTTTAGCTTGGATTTCATATTTCTAATAATGCCTGAATCAAAATCTGCTCTCATGTTAGTATTTTCTAAAGTCTAACGTCTCTCACCGATGTACTGAGCTAAGTCTAGGTTGTAGAGAAGCTCCAGCAGATGAGCAGCGTGGTTCCCCACCACCATCTTCTTTAACTCCACCCAGATTCTTTCTCCTGATATGGCTGCCAGCCCCCGGCCGTTTTCCCTGATGGCAGTCAGAGTCTCGGGCTCATGCTCGTCGGCCCTTAAAGCCACCCTGCCGTAAAACCTGGGACAAAACAACGAGACCGTGACCAACTGAACCACTTGTTTAGAAATAACCACACACCACTTACGGTTTCTGCCTACCTGAAATACCTCAGTATTCTCAGGTAGTCTTCTTGTATCCTCTGCTCAGCGTTGCCGACGAACCGGACTTTGTGGTTCTGGAGGTCTTCGTAGCCTTTGAAATAGTCGTATAACGTTCCGTCGAGCCCTGTCAGACGCAGAGTGGACCACTTGGGATTAAATCATGATCACTGTTCATCAATGAAGTTCCTTTTCACTTGGGAGTGGAGTTACCCAGAAACATAGAGTTGATGGTGAGGTCTCTACGCTCGGCGTCTTTCTGCCAGTCGGTGGTGAACTCCACCTCCGCGTGCCGGCCGTCCGTCTCAACGTCCACTCGCAGTGTGGTCACCTCAAAGTTCTCATCGTGCAGCTGAGGAGGACAAAGATATGACTTAAAAACTTAATTTATTTCAATAATTAAATGAAAAAAACCCCAACTGGGTCTCATATATACTATTATCTCGATACATTAAGTGGTATATTTCAAAGGTTTATGCTCTCATGGCACCGCAGAGGTCATTGGAACATCTTGAATCCCAGTCACAGACTCCAATTTCCCCAAAACGCCTCATACATAGCCACTCCCAAGTATAAGGGGCTTGTCGCTCCAACAGCTGAACAAGAAGCCGACATCTCCTCTCATGGCTGACAGATGAAGAGCATTAGTGGCTGAATTATAAATATATCTCATGTAGCTGTTTACATCGGTCGCTGCCATGATTTTTAATGACTCAAAGCGTGAACGTGTGTTTTTAATTTAATTTCTTACTCAATGGAAACCCAGCAATTGCAAAATTGTGCTTTTTCGACAGAAGCAGAATATTAGCAGCGTGACATCCCTAACTAGCAGAAGATTTGCACACATTTTAATAAAAACGCAGCTAGTGAAGCGCATCACATCACAATCCCACCAACTTCTGAAGAGCCTTCTCTACAGTGCACCGCAAAAGGCCGTCACTGTTAGCTGTCCTTTCTTTTTTCATTATCCGTCCCATCATCAGGCTGGAGAAAACTCATTTTCAAATCTCATCATATCCGGATCTTATTTTATGGTGCAACAAACTTTTAAGTGAGCTCAAAGCTGGACTATAAAGTAAGCATTAGTTCACTTCGTTCACTAGACCCTGATTGCATTCACTTCAGCTGTCCCATAACTTCAAACTGATGCTCCATGTGATTCGTTAATCTGCCGTTTGAATAGGATGAGGAGAAGAATCAACTTTCTTAAGGAATGTGAGGCAGCAAACACACACACACACACACCGTTATAGGCTTCAGTGCTGCTGCTCAATATCTCTAAGAGCCTCCGCTCAGCCAGGATGCTGCCTGCAGCTGAAAGGTGAGATGAAACCAACCGTCATAAACGGCAGTGGAAGAAATGAAGCTGCATCAGCAATGATCCAACTGCTGATTACTCCCAGGTTTTATTCCACCAGTATATCTTCTCATTTCTCCCCGTGATTTTATCTGGAGTCGGTTTAAAAAAAGAGAGCGAGAGAGGGGGAGAGAGTGACTGCCCAGGATGTTTAACATATTTAAAAGGATGTTCACTAAACATCAGGTAAAGCTGGACTTGTATTGTTATTATCTGCTATAGTTTGGGCTGAATAAACAATAAACCAAGAACCAAAGTGGATGTTGATCTTGTTTAAACAACTTCAATCTCAAATATGTTTAATTCAAACATCCTCTTAATGAACCTTTAAAGTTTATATTAGATTGTTATTCATACAGAAGTAGATGACTACACAGCAGATGGAGGCAGAAGATGGTGACCCATGATTTTCCTCCTGTGGGAAACGTGCAGAGTACAGAACATGAAGTGTTTCTGGGATGTGCAACAGTCTGAACAAATGCAAAGTCTCAGACTAGCCGTTAGCTTCGACTTCCAGAACAAACTTTAGTTTTGCCCCAGATGACTCACATCACTGGCAGATTTAAGTTTCCAGTGGTGGAAACACTTCCGCTAGTAAGAAAATAGCGAAGCTAACTTTTTGTTTAGTGCTTTAGCTAATATTAGCAAAGCACTAAGCACCAACTTGGCTGCTTTTTATGCTTTCAGTTCATGTCTGAGTTGAAGTTTTAGTTACCAACTGTTATTAATTCTTCAGGTAGTTAGATGTTTATGTTCGTGCTCTTATTTTGAAGTGGGTGAACACCGTTTTCTCTGCAGCTCCGTTTCCTTTCGTTCCATCTTTCTTTTCCCCAAATAACTTAACTTCAAACAAGAAGCATACAGGAACAAAATAAAACAGACATTGAATAACAATATTTAAACATAAATATCTAAGAAGATTATACAACAGGTAAATTATTATAATTATCCTTAAAGTTTGTTATTTAGCAATAGTTTCAAAACTCCTCCTATCAAGTGTTAGTGTAACTAACTTTTTAGCTAGCGGTGCCCACCACTTAAGGTTATAAACAAAAGAAGGAAAAATTTTAATTTCCTTTCAGAACCAAACTTGTTGGTTGCCAGGGGACAGTAACATGAATAATTTGGGGCATAATTGTAATCTGGAGAGAACTAAACTAATTCTAACAGAGCCACTGTAATAAATATCCCTTTAAACTTCAGATCTACCAAGTACTTTAACTGATCAGACTGGTTGTGAGGATGGGCCAACAACTCACATGGTTACAATTTCGATTCATCAAACTGGTTATTTAATCATTCGTGGCCACATGTTCGTAAAACAATTCATTAAGCGCATTTTTCTTCACTCCGCTTTTGGCTTTTCTTAAAACTGAAGCTCGAGTCAAAGTGCATAACTCTTATACAAGCCAACTATAACTCTTATTTTAGTTAGCTATAACTAAAATAAGAGTTATAACTCTACAACTATAACTCTTATTTTATAACTCTTATTTTAATAGCTATGTAATGAAGCTGCCAAGAGTTTTATTCCTCAAAAACACTCATCTTAAACAACATATACAGAACCACGGAGTATGGACGGTTGGAGTTTTTTTTGTAGCACTAAATGATAAAAGAGATTGTGCATTCATTTTTAAAGAAACAGAAGACAAGAAGTCAGTGTCCAATAAGTTGAAGAAAACTGTTTCACAGCCTGACATCTCTAGTCCAAAGATATCTGGCTGTGCAACATTCCTGCTGATCCTCTCATCTGCATACACTTCCAGCTTTTTTGATCTCCTGCCCAAACAAACAGTAATTATTCACCCATCTACCTCTGGAGGCAGAAACGAAACTGATGCAGGCATTTCCAGTAGAAGAGGGATTTAATTAGAATCCAACTTTGGTAACAAGTTCTCTTTTATGCCAGATGACGGTTTAGTCATGGACATATTGCTTTAACAAACTGTCACCAATTTTAACACTATTTACCTATAAGTATCAAGACTATGATATTTAATCTAACACTTTAGGTTGAAGAAAAAGCTGGTATGAAGACAGCTTTTCAAATAATCACTAAAAAGCAGATTTTTTTTGTATCAGTTGCCATTAAAACTATTCAGCGTCTTACCCGTGCGGTAATGGTGCCGTGCTTCTCTCCTTTGTTGTTGATCAACCTGATCCCAGCATCTTGGAACATGCGCTTCATCTCCTCCGGAGTGGCTGTGGTGGCAAAGTCCACGTCCTCAGGCCGCTTCCCGGAGAGCAGATCCCGCACAGCGCCGCCGGCGATCCGCAGCTCATACTGGTGCTTCTCAAACAGCTCTGGAGAAACGAGATTCTGACTTATTCAAAACAGGATAATGAACTATGAGCACGGATTTTTACAAGTCAGATTCTCAAATAGTAACAATGCACCAATTACGATTGTGGCAGATAACGTTTTTTTTTTTTTTATTACTTTGTATAATCATCATTGTCAGATGTTATAAGGTCACAAAACAACTTCAATATTCCAATCTAATTTCATGGAAAAACTGAACAGTATACAGACATGCTTAGCTGCACAATAGGTGGCACTCTTGAATATAAATGAAAGTTTAGAGCATTCCTTTCCAAACTACAATAAGCTAAAAAAAAAAATCTGTTCCATGTCTTTCATTTTTTTCACATTTTAAAAACAGCTTGCACAACAGGTTGGACAACTGACCTGTTTTGAACCTACTACCAGAAATAAAGCGTACAGCAGTAGTTTTGCTTTTACCAAATCGCAAAGCTTGAGGTCAGTGGAGAAGAAACTAACAAAATATTTTACAATCATCGATAAAGTGTCCTGATTTTTGGGTTTCTTTAGGTAAAAATAAAATGCACAAAGGCAGCAAAGCTTTATTTATACCAAAATGACACATAAGTAGACTAATTAGATGACTTCTCAAGGCTAGTGGTTACAAATGATTTTTGAAGTAGAAAAAGCGGTGAATGTTTAAATCAGAGGGTGAACTTGAATTATTATTAATATATTAGTTGAAAAAAGTTTCAAAATGACGATATTATTTATCGCAATAATTTCTGGAGCAATTTATTGTCCAGCAACATTTGTTGTCGTGATAGGCCTTCAGGTGATCTATTTTTATTCATTTAGAAAAAAATGCTTTTTTAAATCTAAATGCCTGATACCAGAATTAACATAAAGTATTACAATCATACTTGAACAAAAATATTAAACTTCTGTAAATTGATAAATATGTAAATGGTTGTGTTAGATGAGCATATTATATCACATCATATCATATCACTGGCAGACTTGTGAATTAAACTGAATCCACTCTGTATCTAAGTTTTTTTTCCTATCAAATCGTGTGTGTTCACCTGCTATCCCATTCAGCCCATCAGTGAAGAGAGACTTGAACTCGCTAGTCTTCAGCCGCATGGTGAACAGACTCCTCCATACACTATGACTGATCACAACAGGTCTGAAAAATCTGCTCCACATTTACACAGAGAGAGAGAGAGAGAGAGAGAACACGTCAGGTCCCTCAGTTTGGGTTCGCTTGCAGTAACTGAGGAGCTAGCTGGCTAACTTGTCATTGGAGGACAGTTCACTGCGGTTCAAATAACGGTCTCAAAGCACCTGGTATACTGTCAGAACATGTCAGCATCAGCCGCTTATGGGAAACGGAAAAAAAACAACCTTGGCACACTTTATAAGCCAACAACACAATTTTCACCGAAAATTATCTTTCTGTTATATCTGGTCTCCTCATGAAGCGATACCGGAAGAGTTTCAGAAAACGTGCGCTCACCTACCAATAGCGTGAGAGGTTTTCGGTCACGTAAGGCGGGTTTAAAACGTCTCTCGCGAGACTTGTCATGTTTTAAAGTTTCAGGCGCTGCTGCCTGTGCCATCTGTCAGAGAAATAAGCTCCAGGATGCCGCCGTTCAGGCAATGGGGAGACTTCTTTCCCGGCTGGAAAACACCGGCTAATGGCACCGACTTTCACGACAGACTAATCAGCAACCTACTTTATTACCAGACTAATTATCTGGTACTCAGTACTGCTGTTTACATCATTGCAGGGTAAGAAATGTCGTACACTGCATCCTTTTATTGTTTGTAATTAAAAAAAAAAAAATTATATATATATATATATATATATATATATATATATATATATATATATATATATATATTGCTCAAAAAAATAAAGGGAACATTTCACTTTAATTTTGTGTGTGGCTCCAAATCCAGGCCTCCATTGGTTAATAAATTTGATTTCCATTGATGATTTTTGTGTGATTTTGTTGTCGGCACATTTGACTTTGTACAGAACAAAGTATTCAATGAGAATATTTCATTCATTCAGATCTAGGATGTTATTTGAGTGTTCCCTTTATTTTTTTGAGCAGTGTATATACAGACACGCATACATAAAGTTTGTTATCCTGCCGTTTGCTAGTTTCGATGGACAAAGTAAAACGAGGAAACAAACTGAACCAGAAAGAGAGGTTATTACTTAGTTCCAATGAAATCCTTAAGCTTGAAGAACTGGTCTGTGGTCTAGTACCAACAAACAAAATTGTATTCACACTTCTGGAATGCTTTTGCATTTCGTCACTCTTGTCTTTTTGAGTTATTTCAACACAAAGAACCAGGTAAAAATGGTCTTTAAAAATGTTTACATGAGAAAAATATCAAAAATGTCAAGTGCATTCAGTGGGCCTATAAAGTATTAATGCTACTGTTAAAATTATTTTTTTTTCAATTGTAAGACTTAATAATTTATAAACCTTCTAAAGGTTTTATGAACGCATGGCCATAACCTTCTAAAAAGTTAAAGACTGACAGTAGACCGTAACATTCTAAATACAGTTTCCAAAGTCTTACGCTGTAAAATGAAAGTGCATGCCTGTACAATCAGAAAGACTACTAAAATAAACGCAAACCAAATTCTTATAGTTTATTTTTAGCACACACACACATATATATATATATATTAAGTGAAGCACAGCAAATACCATAATGTTCCTCTTGTGAAAGTAAAACTGTTCAGCTCTATTTTGGCACTCAGGCACAGTTCTGCTTGTTGCTCTGCTTGGACAGGACATGGGGGAGAAAAAGGAAAACAAAACTGTTTACGATTCAACTCAGTTCATTTATATGCTGCCAGCTCACTACAAATGTCTCAGGGCAGCCTAAAAAAAATAATCCAAGTTGTAAAACGATGTAGTCAAGTTCAGTTTATAATTAAATTGGTAAAAGAATTCTATTGGAGAAGACCAAGCTGATTGCATCCAATCACTGACTTAGCAGGAATCACTTATTAGTAAGCACTGAGTATCTGTTGCAAGTTTCATGGTGTGGTACTTTTACATTTTTTGCTCTATGTAAAGGCGAGACTGAAAATATTACTTCGTCTTTTAAATAGACTGAATATCTGATGAGTTTCCGTAACTTTCTCATGACTCCGGGAAAACAAATTCCGGTACATGACCTTGAACACACCATCCCCATGGTGACACGTTGAGGTGGCAGCGTCTTCCTGTGAGGATGTCTTTCCTCAGCAGGAGACAGAAATACGGATGTGATTAGAAGATGGGTGGAGATTGTTGTGTTTGTGATTGTTATGTGACAATCACAAACAATCAAAATGTGGAAATGTTCGAGGGATACTTTTCCCCAGGCGCACCGTAGGAGACATGATGCTGATAAAACATCTAACCACTAGGTGGAGCAAGTGCTTAAAACACTGATATTTCAGGAACACCGCAGCATTTTAAGCTGCGCTCACGTGCCTCTGTGTTGTCCCGCAGGTTCAAGGACCCGGTGGGAGTGGGCACCGGCACCGCCGTTATGTTGGCCGTTTTTCTGCTCTCAGCTTGTGTCGGAGAACTGCCACTTATTGTCGGCTTGAAGAGAAGGAGTCCCTTAACGTTTCTTATCATCGACATTATAGCCGTTCACTTCGTGGCTAAAACCTTTGTAGGTATCAGGACATTTTTGTCAGCTACCGCTATATGCCTGGCCGGTAAGTTCACCTCTTTGTCTCACTAAATAAATAAATAAAATTAATTAATTAATCAATTAATTAATTAAAAAGCAAAATGTAATGGTTAGTGCCTTTTTTTAATGTTTTTGTTTTGTTTTTTACATATTTGTTAAAACTGTCACCATGTGGTGACAATATGTGATGAGACAACTAATCTGAAAAAAATCACCTCCAAAAACAACCAATCAGAGCCAAGAGGTGTGTGCTGTCTATCAAGTTCATGTACTTACTACTAAATGTGCTAATGGCTAATGGATGAGCAGCATGACAAAAAAATTGTGATATGCCTCCTGGCTCTGATTGGTTGTTTCTAGTTAGCACTGGGAGAAGGCAGAGGAACTCAATTTTTATTAGATTATCTGTTACAAATATGTAAAAAAATTTTTTTACAAAAGTTACATAGAGTATCTTGAGTTATACCAGGTTTAATAAATGATCAATGAATTATATTTTTGCTAAATTGCAAACATTAGCATTTGCCTTTCCCTCTGCACTGCAGTGACTGTTTCACATGCTTCCCTTTGCAACCGCAACGTGAACGAGGTGGCGTGCATTAAAGAAGCCCAGAAGCTGAAGGGGTCACCGATGGGCTTTTTATTAAAGGCTCGCGGGAAAGAAAAGGAAATGAACAACTAAAGGAGACAGAATGATTGAAAAGGCACTTTTTTCCCCCCCAGATGAAACAAAAATGCTTCCTCTATGCTCATTAACCTTGTTAAAGTTCCTCTTTTGATATTAAGGGACCGACTGTAACTGACAAACTGCATCTTTGCTAGTGAATGTTTTCCGCCGCTCTGAGGAGCGTCTCTCTGTCCTGCACTAAATCTGTTGTGTGCACCACAGCTACATCCTTCATGGTTAAGAAATCTACATACATGTCGGTGCTTGTCGTGAGTAATTTAATGAATAAAAGAAATACAAGAAAGCTAACCAGTCTTGACATTACAACAGGCTTTCTCAATTCTTTTGAGACACTTTTAGAAAATACTAACTTAAGATTTATTCATGAAATAAAGGCTCGATATCCTGTCTTGCACATATTTTTTAAAATTCTGACAGCAACAGAATCAACAGAGCAACACTGAAATGCCTCACTTTATGCAGATGATATTTTGGTTTACCTCTTTGATCCCTGTGCCTTTTTCAAAGACTTTCTTTTTTAAATTTTAAGATTTGTTGGCAAATTGGCAGAATTCAGTTCACACGTTCTAAAAATATAAAGTTTTGATATTGACTTATTTTCTTCTTCACTAGCAGCAATAATGACACATGATCTTGAAATGTTTAATGAAAGAATGGCTCACCACACTTTCTAAAATCAACCTCCAATCTTTTAAGGTCTCTGTCAGCTTTAGATATTTAGAGATGAATCGTTTTGCACATTCTTCTTTTCCAAATAGCTTAAATTCAACCAGACTGGATGGAGACTTCCAGATTATCAGTTGGGTTAAGGTCTGAACTTTGGGCCAGCATAATATTCCCATAACCATATTTCATCATGGCGCATTCAGACTTACTGTTTTGATTGTAACACATATTCTTTTTGTATGCTGGCCAAAATATTTACTTTTGGTTCCATCTGATCAAAGCACCTTCTTGTTTGTATCAAGAGCATTTGATCAGACCTCGACTTTTCCTGCTGTGTTTTTTGGTTTTGATGTCGTTTGTAGCTAATGTTACTAATAAAAAACTCAACAGTGTCCTTTAATATGCCGTTTGGCAGATCTTTTCTTGTTTTTCTCTCCAAGATCTGCTTTAACATGTTCGTGTGGTCATAAAACGCTATGCTTCATAAATAAAGAACATAAAAACACAAATCTGCCTTCAGTTCGTCTTATTGGGTCGTTGGTTCCACCGGTTTACACTTCAAGTTCCTTTCAATAGAGATTGAAGTTTATACAACATACTTTACTGCTAGTGTCTACCATCTGGAAAAGTTGAAAAGGAAAGCCATGATGCCCATCAGGAGTTCTCCTGACTCTCCTGTGTTTTATCTGAGCCGTGTCTCCAGAGTGATGGATGGGGTAAATGTTCTTTCCCTTCCACTCGTTCAAAGTTTTAATCAGTGACCTCGCAGTAGATTATAGAGCTGTGTGAAGGTTCTTTTGACAGAGTGGGTTTATCTGCAGTCAGTAAAGCTCTAAACTTGGACTACATACTTGTTCTGATTTTTTTTTTTCCCTCTCTATTCCATTTGAAACTGCAGATAACAAGAGTCCACTTGGAGAATAATGGTGGAAAAAGAGGTTTGGCCAAAGAATAAATGTTCATTCTTAGCATTTATCTTTTTTTGTAGCAGTCTAACTAGCTTGGTCCACATTTGCAAAGACAGAACAGACCATTCTTTGTTTCTCTTACATTTTAGGTTCCTGCAGTCATTCATTTATTAGAGCATTATTAGGAACCATCTTAAATGTCTTTGCCGTTTCATAGTGGCATATAATGAGAGCTAGAGTTTCCTTAAATATAGATATTTTTTATCACCTTCAAAGACCTGAAAGGTCCAGATAATGATGTCATGAGTTTTAAGCTTCTGACTGCTTAATTAGCAACAGCCGATCTCAAGCTTTTAAAACATTTTTGGGAATAATTTTAAAGGTATTTTTGGGCAAACTCACGTTCTGTCAGCAGGAATGGACCAAAATTTCAATAAGCCATTATGAAAATATTGTGGAAGGATAACCAAAATGTTTAACCCAATTCATTCAGTTTAAAGGCACCAAATCCTAAGGAAATGTATGTATACTTCCAACTATGAAGGAACTAAAAAACAAACAAAAAAAACCTTATTTTTCTGGTATTTAGTAATTATTTAAAAGTGTATTCTTAAATACATGCTAGAAAATTAGTAAATAAAGGGGTTATTTCTCCAATCATGGATGCAGTTTTATGACGGTCATATCAGTAGATCTTATTTTAATTTGCAGAGATTCATATTCAAAAGGTTATTGAAACTTGTTTAAACGTAAACTTTAGTTTCTTTTCTGCAGAAAACCCTGTGTATAACACTTTCAAATGATAACCTGACACTCACAATATGGCGGATGCGCTGACGCGTCACTTCCATTGGAAGTCGAAACTAATACGGCGCTTGCGCCTATGTTTTTAACAATAATAATAATGATTCAGACAGAAATAACTTACAACCGGGCGCTAAAAACACATTAGAAACATAATGAGTTGGTTTATTTCGGAGCTCAAAAGGTTATTGAAACCTTATGTTTATGGCAAAAACACGTGCGCTTCTCGTCCAATAGCGTGAGGTTTTCAAAGCCACATCATGCGCTAGGGAAGTCGCTCTCGCGAGACTGAGCTTGAAGTTACAGCTGTTTGTTTTTCCTCTTGGTTCTGCTGGACTGAGCTGTCAGAGGAAAATAACCTACAGGACTCTAATGGCTAAAGTAGAGGTGGCACCGCTGAGGTCGTGGGATGACTTCTTCCCCGGCTCGGAACGGTTCGCTAAACCGGATTTTGGAGACATGGCAAGATGGAACAACCGAGTTGTCAGCAACCTGCTTTATTATCAGTCGAATTACCTGGTGCTCGCCATTGCCGTTTTCTTCATTGTCGGGTAAGAAATGCCATATAGTAAAAGTTTTTTTTAGTCTGTTTTTATTTTTTTTTTATTTTTTTGTATTCACTTAGTCTGGTTGCCTTGCTGGCATAAAGAAGGGTTTAACCTACTTCTAGAAAGATCAGCGGAAGCAAAGGCAGGAAATGACTCTGCTGCTGTTTGAGAACAAAATAAATACATAAAAAATACTGCAGGTTAAAAGTTGATCATTTTGGGAACTGGCCAAGTGCTTAACACTAACACATAGACTTTGGTGTAGAGTGAAGTCCAGGAACAGAGTGAACTAGTTTGGGCATTCCCAGATGTCTGTAGTTAGTTGATAAATTGATCTAACAATCTTACCTGATAGCGTCAAACATCCTGTATGTGTCATTGGTTGTTAATTTGTTCGAGTTAAAGCTTAATGTACCATCTACCGATCAGGACAAGTTTGCAAACCTGGGTTTTTGTCATGAAACCTGGGTCACGTGTTTTGCTTCTTCAGCCAATGAAAATGCCATGCTGATGACAAATCAGCTGTATTTCCGTGTTTGATTAGAGTCCAAATCCAGCATTGGAAAATTGCTTCAGTGACTTCATCTTGACTCCGTTCAGCAAATCTGAACTTTAACACATTTATTTTTGGTTTCTAAACTGAGCAAACCATGTGAGATGAGAAAACATTTCACTCAGTTAACGTTCAGCAAAAGTAACTGCATATGGGTTTGTAGAAGATAACGTGAGATTTAGCCAGATCTGCATAACACCGTGGATATTTACCATTCTCTGCTGCATCAGACGGTACACTAAACAAGTAATTTTTCAAATAAAAATGTTCAAACATGCAAAGTGCACAGTCATTCTGACAGAAAACTAAATTAAAAACTAAATTAATCGACCGTAGATCGAAACTGCTAAATTTTCCCTTGTCTGACTACAGCCGAAAACTGTCAGATACGGAAAATTCAGATTGTTTTCCTTTGTTCATTGAATGCATCATAACTAAAACCTCTTTGTTTCAGTCTGTAAGCACACCAACAAGCTGCAGCTCCTCCAGAGTCATCTTGCAGCTTTCCAGGTTAGGTAGAGGGCCATCTATTAGTCGCTCAGTTGTGCCAGACTTCTAAATGCAGTAAAGAGAGTTGAATACATCCACCCACTACACTTTTCAGACTGTCATTTGCTGGAAAAAGTTACAATCTGCCTTCCTTAAAACTTCTTTAGCTCTTTTCCACTATTATTGTACCTTAAAAAAATAATATAGCTTTATGCTACCTGAATCTTTACACTTGTTGTCCTTAGTTTTGTTTGAGGTTTTTGTTGCTAGAATGCAGCATAAAGACGAAGAGCCCTGTTTCCATAGAAGTCATAAACTTGGCCAGAAGCCATGGGTGGTGGTGTGTCAATGCTGCCGCTGTCACAAAGCACAAAGCTGGCTTTATCTGGACGTGTAAAGCAAATGCCAGTTTAAAAAAAAACACACACACACACACACACAATACACACTAGATACACAGAAATATTTTTTTCAACGGACTTATCCATTAATCAGTTATTTCAATTGCTTTTTACAGCTTCCAGCTTTCTTTTAAAATTGACATTTCTCTATCAAAACAGTCATAACGTGCAGGGATAATGTTGTTTTTGTAATTCAAACATGTAACCACTAGAGGGAGCCAGTGCATACACCATAACTTGCTCCGTGACACTCTGGAGGGCATCGCAACCGCCTTTAACCCGCCTTGTGTCGCCCTGCTGTGGTCCTGCAGGTTCCTCAACCCTGTGGGGATGCTCACAGCCATTGCCGTGGTGTCGGCCGTCTTCCTGGGCTCCGTCTGGGCAGGAGAGAACCGAGCCGTGATCAAGAACTTCAAGAGCCAGAACCCCACGGCGTTCGTGATCGCCGTCATGGTGGCCAGTTACATGCTGATTTCTCTGCTCGGCAGTGTCATGACTTTTATGACAGCAATCACTTTACCTCTCATTTGTAAGTTAATGGAGAATCTTTATGCAACACTGGATTATGAATTATTATATCATTTAAAAGTGGTCTGGATTACACGATTACACAAAGTAGAAACTTTTTCTTCTTTTTTTTAAAGATTTGTTTCTAGTGGTCTTTATTTGGCGGTGGTCAAGTTGTCATAGGCTGCAAAAGTCAAAGGGGCGGGACTTGAACCCCTCTGTCGAGGATATATGGGTTGCATTCTCTATCCCCGCGCCACCGCGCCTGGACCTAAAACTTTTTTGTAACGTTCGGGCGCACATGCGCAGAACGGGCAGCTGCGGGGTTTATTCTTCGCATGCCCGCCATTGTTTTAAATGTAAAACAATGGCGGATAGTATCGTGCTTTGTTGCGTTTCTAACCTTTTCAGACGGGTTGCTGTTTACTGTGGTCAAAGTAAAGGGTCGTTTTGACATGCTAAAATCATAGCGCCATATAGTGGCCTGGCGTGGCAACTACAGCTGACTGTATCGTCTGATAAATGTGGAACTTTTCCCTACTCAACATCCGACAAATACCAGCAGCTAACAGGCAGCAGTCTCGTGTAAACAAAGCCTAAATTCTCCCTGAATCAGATCATACTCTGGGTTTATTTATGAGTTTGTTTTGGCCAAATGTCAAATTTTAAAATGTAATTTATTTACTTCTGTCTGCTCTGCAGTGATACTCGCACACGCTTCGTTTCGCCTGCGCAACATGAAGAACAAGATGGAGAACAAGATGGAAGTCGCGGGGCTGAAGAGATCTCCGATGGGCCTTTTGCTCGAGGCTCTGGGGCAGCAGGAGGAAAACCTCCTTAAGATTCAGACTTTACTGGAGGGAAAAATGAAGGAGTAGCGGCCACGTTTCTGCAAAATGCAACAACTTTCAAGTTTCTCTATTGTCTGGCATGTTGACGATAAACAAAAGACTGCAAATCAACAAACGTTATCTCCTCCTCAGGGTATCTCGTGACGCTCCGGTCAGAACTTGTCAGGGGTGCTTCTCTCGCTGCCCCATCCCTCCCACCCCTTGCACATCTATGCAAATCGTGTCCCGCTGCAAGCTGCGAAGCCTCTTGTTTATGAAATCTGTGTTTAATCAGTCTCGCAGAGCCCTCCGTTTGCACTCGAGTGAAATTGTGAAAGCGGCACGCAAGTGTTGCAGTTTCAACCGAGACTGAAAAGTGCTCGCTCAACATGCGTCGCTGCCAAGACAACAGAGCGCTTCGAGTTCACGGAGGAGGAAAACTCTTCACATTTTCGAGTGGAACTGTTTACATCGGCCCGGAGTTGGACTGGAACCAGCCAGCTGCAAAACAAAGAGAATCATGCAAAAAGAGCGAGCCCAGCTTTGACTTCAGTCTGATCACTTTGTCAATATTTGAAAGGGAAAACTTGAAAGGAATTCTCCTGACCTCTTTAATTTTGACAGTGCCTCGTGGGTGATGGATGGGGGAACGCTACACTCATCTGACATACTAATCGATGACTGTGCAGCAGATTATGGCGCATTTCTGATTCATCTGCTGTCAATAAGGCCCTGAACTCAGATCAGATGCTTTGATGCTGCTCCGTCTAAAATGGAGTCCAGATAACAAGAATACACTTGTGAATAAAAAATAAATAAATAAACCTGTCGAAACATGGTTTTCTAATGGCAATTTTTTTCTGATATTAAAATAAATAAATCTTTTAAAAGTTTGTTTTTGAAAGATCCTGAATGATTACAGTACCAGAGCACTCCTCACCATGTCATGATATTTTGTGGTACTACACTACAAAAACAAAAAATCTTACAAAAGTATTTCTGATCTAACTTCTAGTGTAAACATTCAGTTACACTTGACATGAGAAAACTTACAAGTAAATTATCAGCAAGACATAGCAGCTTGTTTTAAGCCAGTAACTCTTTTATTGATGTAAAAGTACTAATGTCACTGGCAGTTTATTTCACTTCTACATGGGGAAAAAATGTGTGGTTAAAAGTGAAATGGTAAATCTGCCAGTGGAAGGAGTACGTTTATTAGTTAATATTAAGCAGTTATTGACTGAAAACAAGCTCCTATATCTTGATAAAAAGGTACTTGTAAATTTGTCTAATTTCAAGTGTACGAAAAACAATTGCACCAGAAATTGCACCAAAAAACTTGGCAAGATTGTGTTTTTGCAGTGTAAATGTGGCTATAAGTGTCAGTCACATAAAGAAGTGTAACTGCTTTTAATCTTATTCCCATTTATTAATACTCCCATTGAACAAACAGTGGAGAAAAAGTAATATAAACTATTAAAGATATAAATACACAATGTGCTGCAGCATGCAAGTATTTAATTGAATACATATTTTTAGTGACTTATACAATTAATAGATTATGAATTTGTATTGAATATTAAATCATTCATGACATATTTAAGCAAAAAGGAATGCTTTAATTAGTGAATTATGACTCATTTGGACCTCCGTACATAAGAAGTTTCCTTGGGAAATAATACTTTATCCCATGCAGAGCATTATTTGCTTTTTGCTTATGTTCATGTAAGGCTTAAAAGTGCAAATGTGCAAACAACTATGAGGTCCAGGTAATTGCAGCAAAGTTTAATGGAAACGGAAGCCGAGCTGGACAGCGCTCCACTTATCTGCTCCTGATGGGGGGGAAAAAGTGTTGTTTATATTTGAATGGCTCACTGGTTCTTCACGTGTTGCATTCTGGGTTGTCTAAAATCCAAAAAACACACAGGCTTGTTTCTCTACCTCCAGTGTTTCTGTTGAGTTTAATGGCCCGCTCCCTCTGGGCTACAGCTGTGATTTACGTCCCCTGCTGCCTCATCCATATTGGGAAAACTTGGAGTAAACACAAGCACCGCTGGCAGCAGAATCAAGTAAAGTCATGTCTCAGAGGGCACAGTAGAGGCCCTTGTTCTTCATGAGGCAGCAGCTGAACGTGTGTGTGTGCGTGTGTGTGTACCGCCTGCTGCTCACTCAACAGGTGTGTGTCATTGTCGACTCAGCAGAGAGAAAGAAGCTCCCCTTCAAAATCCGTATTCTGATATTCATACTGTTCCCTACAGTAGGGTGAGTGAAGCTCCAAAAGTTGCTACATGTAAGGCCTCGCAGAAGTATTCACACCCCCAAGAATGAACTCATTCACATTGTGATCAGCTTCAATGAGTTTTAAATCAGTTTAAAGGGACAGAGTGTTATTCTTTGCAACATGGTTATTTGAGCATGGTTATTTTTAAGTGTTAGTCAAGATTCTCCATTTGATTGAGGTCAGGACTTTATCTAGACCATTCTAGCAAGAATTTGCTTTGATCTAAAAGCCATTGGATTCTACTGGAAAGTGAATTTCTGCCACAGGCTCAAGTTTTGTGTTTTTCCATCATTTTTAGCAGATTTTTTGTCCAGTTTTTAGCTCCATTTATTTTCTCATCGACTCTGACAGTCTTTCCTGCAGGACCGCCCCCCCCCCCAAAAAAAAAAAACAAACAAAAGAAAAAAACACTCCCACAGGCTGATGCTGCCACTACTATGTTTAGCAATGAGGATGATCATGGTAGTAAGCTCCTATGTTAAAAAGTTACTTATAAGTTAATTTCGTCTTATTTAGTGCACTATATACACTAAAAACTAGACTAAATATACTTAGTAATTTATTGTGTTTTTGCTGTGATTTCACTTTTAAATTGTGGTTTGAAAATTATTATTTTTTTGTTTCTAATGGGTCTTCATGTGAAATTTCAAGAAAGCTAACGTAGCTCCTCGGGCTAGCTTGAATTAAATATCCGCCCCCTTTTTGTGTTTATGAGCAAATAACTGCTGAAGAGCATCTTAATAGCAAAATGTTGGTTATAAAGTTGACTCAAACATTTAACCATAAGGTTAGTATTGAAGATAAGGGCCTAAATTGCTCCCTA